TAGAAAGACAAAGAAGGCCACTACCAATGCTCCTGTCTGTGTGCCCCAGTTTGGAAAGTAACAGCCAGGAAAATGAGTGTAACCAGTGAAAATTTTAGGTTGAAACAATACAGAAACGATACACAGTAACGTCCTAGAGGCCTTAAAATATCTCTTTGCTAATTTAGATTCCTGGCTCATGGCCAGCCTCAGGGAGATTTCTCTCTTTAGCAGACAATGTTTCAGGAGTTGATTAGGTAAACAAACTAACTAATATGATGAATGCGGATAACAAGGACACATTGAGTCTCACATCCCTTTGCAAAATGAGAGATTCCTCCTACTACAATTTGCTCTTCTGCATTCATCAATAATCTGAAGAAGTATCGGTCATTCATTTGTGATTCAGAGGAGGAAACTGGCAAGAATAACCTTGCCAGTCTTGACTCCAAAATGCTGCAACCCTGTGGTTGAGCACAGAGTGCCTCAACTTTTACTGGTTTGAGCGAGAATTAGATGATGGTTAAAGTTAGAAACATCCCCATCTGTAAGGCTTTGCAGTACTGATGATTTTGGTAACGGGCCCTTAGACGAACAGACATGTGGAACAAGAATCCGGAAGATGACAGCTGGCATTTGCTGCTATCTTGGTTCATTGGCTGTGCTGCTTTTGGAGGAGACAGTGTCAGTGTGATGTGCCCAGCTCTGACCAAATGAGAGTGTGTGATGCTCAGTTCTGACCAGTTGATGGGCAGATCCTCTCTAAGCAAGGTGTAATGTTACCACCCTCCATTTGCCTGCTTCATATTGAGAGCAGGCTTTTAGAAGTGATGGGGTTTGGTCTTGCAGCTTTTCTATGCCTAGAGGACTAACACCTGGATATGGAAGAGCCTGCAGTTTCTTCAGGGTGTGCCGGCATACCCAGTTTGCAGCGTGCATTGTTCAGTGAGCATTGTCTTACCCTGCTGCCAGTGCATGGAGGGTGTCTGGCAGCCTTGTCAGAGGCATGCTTGGCTGCTGCCCCCAGCTTGGCCATGGCAGCAACCACCCCAGATCCAGCCCTTGGTGTGCCAAGGGCAGCACTTGTGGAGCATCAGGAGCAGCCCAGGAGAGTGCTTTGGGCTGCTAAACAGCAAACGTCCATGCATGGGCTGAACTCAGATGATAACATATCTGGTGGATAGCAAGACAAACCTGTCCCCATTACTCTGTTACCCATTTTTTGAGAATAGGGTTCCTGGATCAAGCTTCCTATGTTTCACAGAGGGTGTTCATGTGATAATAAAAAGCTGTAAATCATCTTAAGATGTAGCACACTGGTCCAAAAGACACCTCTGCACATCAGATTGTGGTAGCTTTTCACAAATATCTGATGTGCTTCAGTCTAAAATTAATCAGGGTTTTCACCACTGCTTGGGAGGTGTAGAAGGACAGACATGACCTTTTCACCATACCCTGGGCTGTGCAATGGAGGACTAGGTGGAAACATGTGAGGAGGAAGGTGTGTAGTACACAGCCACATCAATAAATCATTTCACAAAGCTGAGCAGATCCATGTGATGGGAAGGGTCAAGAGGAAACATGGACAAACCTGAACATTGCTTGAAGCAACCTGAATTTTACAGAGCCAGAGGAAGTTGTAGAGTAGATATCTCCAAGCAAAGACAACAAGCAGCCAAAGACACAGAATACCAAAGCAACAAGTAAATGTAAGGGTAAGGGTGAAACCCTCTCCATGAAAAGCGAGGTACCAACGCAGCCAAAAATACCTCAGAATTACTAAAACCAGTGTGTAATTCAGCTCAGAATCAAGGAACGGGAAAATTTCGGTAACATGTTAAGAAATTTGAAGAAAGCAGTGAGATCTTCTCCCAGAAGAAAGTCCCACTGATTGATCTGAATGAGGGAAAAATCCTGAGAACAGGCCATGGGGAATAATTTTGCTGATCTGAAGTGGTGTGGGGGCTGCCAGTGTCATGATGGAGTTTGTCCCTCTGTGCTCCTCAGGATGGTAACAGAGGTGCTGGGCTGGGGTCTGATCCCAGCCATATTGACAACCACCGGTTTCACATGACTTCATGCTTGACATGAAGATACGGCTCCTGATATTAAAGCAAGATGGTCAGTCCTCCTGATTTCCGTTCTGCTAAAAATTCTGGGATTTCAAACTTTCCTTTTTCTCCAAGAGGAAATTCCCATCAAATGACAAAAACTGGTTTGGAGGATCTCAGAATGATCTTATTGAGATGTTGATGTCATTTTGATTTTCCCATTTGGTTTTAAAGCACAGGTTTTGCATGTCTTAGGCGGCTGAGATTAAAATACGACATTCAGAAGAAAGCCATAGATAATTCTGATTACATTTCCTCTGGCCGGATACAGTTTTTCCTGTGCAATTGAATCAGCATTTTTTGATGGAAAATTTTCCACCGGCTCTAGTCAAAATTGAGCTGCCAGCTGGCAAAGCTTCTGCTGTTTCCGGCATTTGCATGGCCCTGCCATGGGAAAGGGGATGCTCCAGACCAGCAGGTTTAGTGGCAGTGGGCAGCACTGGAGCAGGCTGACAGCTGGCTAAGGAGAAGGGCAGGGGAGCATGAGGCATGAGGGAAGATGTTTGGGGCGTCAAGGCAGGAGGGAGGGGAAAGGGAGAGGTGGTAAAAGCATCAGTGAAGAGACACCTGGATAAAAGAGAATTGAGGAGAGTAAAAAGTTTCCCCCTTGATACTTGATGGAAAAATGTGTTCCTGGCTGAGGTCCCAGGTGGTGACAAAAACAGCTGTGCAGAGCTGAGCACCGTAAGCTGCCCTGGCTACATGGAAAGGTGTCACTGCAGCCCCAAACCAAGGCAGATTTGCAAGCGCTGGCCCTTGGACTGTGCAGGAATTCTCTCTGAATCCAAAGGAGATAGAGAGGATCTGCGCAGTGAGGGATGTAACTGTACTGGTCTATCCAGGGCAGAACAGGCAAGATCCCTCTCCTGGCCCTGGTGGGTCAAGCTGGCCCCTAGCAGCATGGAGGTGTCGGGGGGTGGCTGCCCCACCACCCCGGTCTGGTGGGTGAAAATGAACCACAGGGGTTTGTGCTGAGGTTGGAGAGGGAGTGAGCCAGTCCCCTGCAGCTCTGCCTGCTGGCCTCCGGGAGTGAGAGTGCCCACCAGCATCCTGCTGGCTGCAGGACTGAGCAAACCTGTGTGTCATGCAGGCATGGAGGAGCGGGTGGGGAGAGGAAGCTGTGCACTCCTGAGGGTCCTTGCTCAGGCCCCAGTGGATTTGCAGCCACCCGTGGTCCAGGGGTTACATATTGGCAGTATGAAAGTGTAAATCAGACTGTTTTATCATGCGGATGAGGTGACATGTGGTGAAGCAGCCTGGCTCTAAACTCCCCTCTGACATGCACAGAGTGTCTTCTGCTGGGAGAAGCTGGGATCACAGCCGCTGGGGCCACCACCCCACCGAGCTCCCTGCGGGGCCAGGCCAGCCAGGATCCCAGGAATGGCCCAGGTGGGCTGTCACCAGCACTAGCAAGTCCTCTGCCTACCCTGCAGCTCTGCCCCCGTATGGCTTCGATGCTGGGCAGTTCCCCTCTGCACAGGTAGAAGAGGCGAGCTTGCCTTGCCAGCTGACAGCATGAGGACATCACTTCTCAGCATCAGTCTCGTGGTCCCCATGGCAGAGCTGGGGGTCTGCCCCAGTCCCCCAGTGCTCCCACTGCAGCCTGAACTCCCCCACGGCTATGGGTAGAGGGGACAAGAGAGGGTTAAGCTGTCAGCTCTGTAATGTTAAACAGGTGTCAAAGGCACCTCCATATATCTGCAGATTGAAATCAAATTCTTTGCAGTATAAAAAGATAAATTACCCAGGCGATTCCCGCCTCATCCCACTCATCAGGCCAGCGCCAGACGGCAAGCAATTTTTTTTTTTAATGTGCTAACGACCTAATCAAGCAATCAAGTCGGAGAAGATTGCGGAGTGACCCCGAGCATCCATCTGCCAGCGAGACCCCGCCATTCATTTCCATTCTGCCGTGTACTTTCTGGGAAAGGGAGGGAAAAAAAATAGAAAAGAAAAAAAAATCCTAAACAAATTAACACCCAATTTTCTGTGAGTCTAATTAGTTAAATGAGGAGGTGTTTGGGGTGTCCGCGGGGAGGGAGGGGCTGCCTCTCGGAGAGGGGCCTGGTAACTCCATGGCATTAATTAGCGCAGGTCAATGGCGTGGTTCCCTGGGGACCAGCTGCTTTAATTTCCCGTGATATTTCAGTGCCTGAGGCCCATCGATTCAAACTGAAATTAACTTATTTTTCAATCAGGCCTGGGCTGCCCCTGGGGCTGACTCTTCCTTTGCCTCCTTCTGAATAGACCTCGAGCAATTTTTCATCTAAAGCTGATGCCTCTGCTCGGCAGGAAGGGAGGGGAGCTGGGGAGGGAGGAGGGCGATGGAGACAAGAGGAATGGAAATCGGAGAGAGAGCGCTAATAGATTTCTGCAAGCATCCCCCCTCCACGATCGCCACCCATCTCTCTGCTCACTGCCCCCCAGGTCACAGCTCAGAGATTATTCTGCCAATTTTCTGAGAAGATGAGGGGCTTTTCAAACTGGGAATTCAGGGCGAAGCACACAGATCAGCTTCCCCCTTCTCCCGCCTCTCCCAAGCATCCGCCCCCATCCCAGCCCTCTCTGCAGGCACCACTGCCCGCAGCCCTGTGCTGCAGCTCAGACACCCAGTAAATAATGAAAGAAAATCCCAGGCACGAGAGCCAAAAGCCACTAGAAAAAGATGCCATGATGGTAAATTAATTACATCCTGCAGAGAGGGATGGAACCTGCTCTCATGCTTGGCCCTTGCTGTTCCTGCAAGGGAGGGAGTGAAGCTGCTGCATGGGGAAATAGGGTGCAGTGCTTTAGGGATGAGCATGCATCTGCCTTCATCCTGTTGCACAAGCACACACGCGTTCCCGTGCGGGAAGGGGACTGACACACCTCCTCCCAAAAACCCACGTCTGTTCTTGTTGCCCACCCCAGGTTTGGTTCCAGAACCGCCGGGCCAAATGGCGGAAGAGGGAGAAGTGCTGGGGCAGGAGCAGTGTGATGGCTGAGTACGGGCTGTATGGTGCCATGGTGCGTCACTCCATCCCGCTGCCCGAGTCCATCCTCAAGTCTGCCAAGGATGGCATCATGGAGTCCTGTGCCCCTTGGCTCCTGGGTAAGAGAGCAGCAGCCTTCACGGGGGATGGTGAGCGGGTCAAGACAAAGTGGGGGGATGCAAGGAAGAAACCAGAGCTGGGTCAAAAACATGGGTGGAGGGCAATGGGATGAGGTCCCCCATCCCTGCTATCCTCCACCCCTTATCCCCCAACAGCCCTCGTCAATAGGGTCTGACTGCTCATCCCAAATCCCTGCTGGTCCTTGGTTCCTGATCTGCAGGATCTGTCTGGGGCAGGCATTTACCCCCCATGCTCAGGCTGGTGTTAGCTTTCAGCTCCCATGGTGTGAGCATCCCTCATGCCCAGCCCTGGAGCAGGGGCTCCAACCCTTGTCCTGGTCTGACACTCCCAGCCCCATGATGCTGTGTAGAGTGCCAGGACCCACAAATTTGCTCTCTTTGCCCCAAGTCCCAGAGGGAACATGTTGCTGCCTCCTGCTCTCTGCACCTGGGGGAGCTGCATTTCTGCCTGGTTTCACTTGGTTTTCTGTGCAGACATGGAGGTAGCAGCTACCCTACCATGCTCCTGTTCTTTGCTTCCCACTTTCTGACTTTTCAGGCTGGTTCTGCCCCAAAGCTAGTGTCTGGCATCTTGACGATGGGCTGTCCTGTCCTTCTATCTGTGTGAAACTCAGAGAGGCAGAGGGGTGGGTTGTGTGAGGAATGGGTTGATACAGGAATAGGCAATGGGGGATCTCTCTTCCCAGCCTCGGTGAGTCTCAGGCAACTCTGATGTCTGAGACCCTCATCCCCATGCAGGGACAAGTTAGCTTTAGGTTCACAGATAGAAATGAAGGGGAGAATAATTATAGACCTTTGGGGGCAGCCCTAAGGCCACAAATGCTGGGGCCAGGTGGCCCCAGCAGACAGCTGCCTTGCCTGGGCTGCCCTCAGGTGGGGGCCAGAGCAAGCGTCTCACCGTGACTGCTGCGTGAAGCAAGGGTTTCTGCTTTTCCTTAATTCTGGCCTCTCTTTATCTTTGCTGTTTTCAGTTCAAGATGGCTTTCCCATGCCCAGGCGCTTTTCTAAACCCGAATACCAACAATTCTTTTTAGGGATGCACAAAAAGTCTCTGGAGGCAGCGGCTGAGGCGGGGAGGAAGACGGAGGTGGAGCGCCAGGCTCTGCCCAAGCTTGACAAGGGTGACAAGGAAGAGAGGGGCCCGGATCCCAAAACCACCATTTCCCAGGAAGAACTGAGAGAAAACAGCATTGCTGCCCTCAGGGCCAAAGCTCAGGAGCACAGCACCAAAGTCCTGGGGACCATCGCCGGGGACACCCCAGCCCCGGGCAGGAAGCCGGAGATAGGGGAGGAGGCTGCAGCGAAGGAGGATGAGAGACAGACGGAGAAGCTGAACTCGTCGCAGAAGGAGGAGAAGCTGATCTAGGGGGGGAAGAGGAGACGGGAGCCAGCTCCGACAGACACTGTATCCTCCGGGGGCTGCGTTCCCCCTCAGACTGCCAGGCCCCGCCGTCTGCCCCTGCCTGGGGAGTGGGGCTCCGGTCTCTGTGTTTGGGGCTGTCTCGCAGGGGTGCCCCCCACCTGCTCCCCTTGAGCATACCCCTGCCCCTCGCTCCTCTGTGCTGCTGGGCCTTCTTCACCCCCTCATCCCCTCACCCTCCCTTCCTTTTGGGACACCAGGAAGAGTCCCATCATCATCGCCACCCGACACTGAAGCTCTGGGTCCCTCCAGCCTTGTGACCATCCCTGGGGCTTTCTCCTCCTGCTCCAGCCCCAGACCCCATCCACCATCTTGGAGTGAGCCTGTCCCCTGCTGCCATGCCCCTCCTCGGTGCACATCTCTCTCCAGTACTGCCTGGGCCCCTTCCCCTGGCTCCCCATCCCACCATGCCCCAGGCAGACCCACTGCCTTCCCCTGGTCATCACCTCCGCCTCTGGCCCAGGCTGCAGTGGGACAAGCCCATGGCAGTGTTAGCATGAAATGGTGACTCTCCATCCAGGGTGGTTTGCACCTTCCACTCATCTCTCCCCACTTGGTGCTGGGGTCTGCTGGGAAGGGGCTGCAGCTTCAGAGTGGTTGAGTTTTGCCTCCATTTGTCAGGCAGAGGCAGGTTTAGCCCACACCCTGGTCCCACTTGGCACCCCAGCCCATGTTGCTGGCTCCCGCAGAGCTGGCCACCACAGCCAGGTCTGACTGCCCCAAACACCAAAGCCCTGCACCCCTGCAGAGGAGCCAAACTGAATATGTTTGAATATTTCAGGCGAGACAACAACATCTGCCCAATATATTTATTGAACTAAATTTGTCCAGCTCGCCCTCTGAGTGTTAAAGGGAATGACAGCCATGCACATCCACCCCCGATACACCCTGTAACATGTACATATGTCTCCCAGCCAGTCCCACACAAGCACTTGCAGACCCACGCAGCCAAACCTGCTCCGTGGTACCATCACCTTCCCATCCTGGTAAGGCACTATTCCTCCCCACCCCCAAAAGCTGTAGGACAGTGACTTCCAGGCAACCCTTTCTGTCCTGCTTTCAGCTGTGAGCACCCTTCCCCTGGAGCTACTGTTTTTCTTCCATCAAAGGTTAAGCCCCTCCATTCAGTCCCTGTTTGTCTTTGTCCCCCGGTTGTTTGACGTGTTAGATGATAGCCCATGGTGTGTAAATAATGTATATACAGTGAGAAAAGAATTCAGTATTGAGGTGTTTGAGATATGGAGCTGTAACAACTTCTAGTCATCCAGCATCTGTGATTTATGTGCCATTTTCTGTAAAGATATGAACAAGAATAAAACTAAACAGGAATACTGTGTATGAGTCCGGTCACCGATGTTCAAGGATTCAGTCAAAGCAGAGAGGGGGTTGGATGTCAGGCTGTAGTCAGAGGTGGGAGCTCCAAAGCAGCACAGAGGTCTGCACCTTCCTCCCTACCCAGGCATGGAGAAGATGGGGCCTGGGTGCTGCTCTCCCTTTGTGGTGAAAGACAAAGCTGAAAGGGGTGTCCTTGTACCTGGGGCAGAAGTTAGGCATCATGGCATACAACTGGTCAGAGAGCAAGTCGCTTTAGCATGCAGCACTGCCCTGGTGCTTTGGGTCACCCCATATCACACCCGCCCTGGTGTGCAGGAGCAGGCTGCAGGGCCAGGCCAGCCAGAGGAGCAGAGGTGGCAGCCAGACACTGCAAGCACGAGTTTGCTTGTTGAGAGAGAAGGGCACTGACAGGGATTTCCCCCAAAGCAAGCTCTGGTTTGAGAGCAGCGGGAGCCCATACTGAATTATCAGAGAAGGAGCTGAGATTTGTCCACCTTGCTAAGGGACTCTGAGGATGGTCTGATGGAAAAACCTGATTGTCTTACAGGGGAAAAAGGCTGAGGCAGAGCAGACATGCATAGGAAATGAGAGACTTTGCTTGTGGAACAGGTCTGCTTGGCGTTGATTCTGTGGAGGGGCTGTAAGCCCACAGGACTGCATTTCCCTGGGTGGATGGAGCCCTTGTAGGTCCTCACCTAGCTCTGGGGGCAGCTCTGCTACAAATCAGGTGTGTGGTTTGGGATGAATGCACCTGATGTCAAATAGTGCTTGTCTCCTGTACTGGTGTCCAGCCTGTTCACCAAACATACCAGCCCTGCAGACTATGAGTGGTGTCACACTATGAAGAATGAAGAGGAGAGCTACTAACTCTCTCTTCTCTGCTGTTGATTTCATCGGTGTGCCTCGCTGGGAAGAACAGCCCTGCTTGCAGGGAGAGCCTTTTTCTGCTCTCTCTTGTGGCCCCTAGGAAGGGAAGGGAGCCTGGTCCATGAAATTAAGGAAACCTCCAAGCTCTGCCTTAAAAAGCACTACCTATATAGGGCTTGAAGAAAAGGAAGGCAGGGAAGCATCTTAACTCTGCTACAGTGGGTGGTGGGAGGTCTCAGTGTGAGGAGATGGACTGCAGTGTTTCACATTAAACTACCACCCCCTGCTCCACCATGGCCACCCCGTGGTACAGACCCGTCTGGAGTGTTTGTGAGGAGGCAGAGAGCCCAGCCCAGTTTGCTGGAGGGGATAGCTCTGATGGCCCCCTAGCAGTGAGGTGGGATGGGATGCGATATCCCCCTCCTGCAGCAGACAGCTGCAGAAGAAAAACCTTCCCTGACTTACCAGAGACAGCACAGCCTAGTGCTCTGCAGGGAACAGGCTTTAATTCTGGGAAAGGGATGGTCCTGTCACCCAAGGCAACCCTAACTTTTCCAGATGAGCTGCCCCAGGCTGCCCTCATGGCCAGTGGAGGACCAAGGCAGGGGCTGCAGTGGAGGGGTAGGGGGTTGTGGGGTGCAAAAGGGATGGGGATGAGTAGACGGAGGTGGGAGGGAGGTGACTAGGGGGAAAGCAGAGGTGCCTGGGGATGCAGCACAGCCCTGGGAGAGTGGGAGTGGGAGTGGGCTGGTAGAATCTGGCCCGGGCATCTCAGCTCCTGTGGGGAGCACAGGCACCCGCTGTATCTGGCTCCCATTCAAGAGCAGCTGTCAGGACTCAGATTAGCATGAAGGTTATTTTCAGTCAAATATTTCTACAAGCCACCCCTTTCCCCTCCCTTAAAGGGATTGAATTTCTTTTTCACTGTAGTGCTCTAGAAGAGAGGAGGAGAGGAACGAGGCAGGAAGAAGGGCATCTGGGTTCCCTGTGCGGGAGAGCTGGTTTGTGTCTAGTCAGCCCCAGCTCCTACAGGGGCCCATCTTGGCCAGGCTGGGTGTCCTGAGAGGCTGTGAGGACTTCAGGCACCCATCTTCTCAGTGAGAGGAAGGCGCTCTGCAATGATGGCTAGACTGCTGGCCAGGGCTTGCTGCCCCAAAGCTCTTCCTCAGGCTTTCAGATGCCCCCTCGGGTCAGTGGCTGCCCGAGCCTGGAGCCACGGGCCCATCACTGCCTACATGCCTGAAGCCGTCGCCTTCCCCAGACCCAAGGACCACCAAGGCTTGTACAAGGTGTCCGTGGAGCAGGAGGATACCTTCTGGGGAGTGCTAGGGAGAAGCCGGCTTACCTGGATCACCCCCTTCTACTCTGTCCAGGACTGCAACCTGCACCAGGGCAGGGTCTCCTGGTTCCTGGGTGGGCAGCTGAACGTGGCAGGTAAGGAGGGAGACAGACCTGGGAGCCCACCAAGTTCCTGTGGGTGCCCCTCAGAGCAGATCAGAGGAGCACAGTGTTAAAGGGTGGAAGTGAGTGGGATCCCTAGAAGGTCTGGTTGGTTCTGCAGTGGCTGTAGTGTAAGGATGTGGATGGTCCTAGGGGGGCAATCAGGTGTCACTGGAGAGGCTGGAGCTGGATCAAAGTGTGCTGGGAGCCAGGCTGCTCTCCCTCAGCCTCCATGGATCCCACAGCAGCTCAGCATCTCTGTTCTGCAGGACCACAGGCAACAGCATCAAACCCTATGCGTTCAGCGAGCAGCATTACAGGTTATCCTTGCCCAGCAAAGGCAGTATGTATCTGCAGAAAGCAAAATACAGGAACAATGAGCAGTACTGGAAGTCCCCAAAGCTGTGGTAGGCTCTTCTGTGGGCTGGGGCTACTGCCTTAGGGTGGCTACTGGGGACAGACATAGAGGCTGGTGACACTGTGTCCTACTCACAGTGCTGTTGGTCCCAGTGTTCAAAATACAAGATAGACCTCTCTAAAATCACACCTTACTCAGTCCATTTGGGCAGGAGAGCAGGAGTTACCTGCCTTTGGGTTTTGAGATCTTACCGTTCCCCCTTTCATGTGTGTTTCTTTCTCTCCTGGTAAAACTAAAAATGGTCAGGAAAAAAAGGCATGCAAACTGGGGCTGCTGCATCATCTCATGACCTCAGTAGCAGGTTTAAGGAAAACACAAAGGGAAACAAGGCTTCTGTGGAAACTGCAGCTGCCAGCAAGGCATGAAACTTTTCTCAGAAGAATTACAGCCAAAGCCTCAGCCTACCATATTCCTGGAAAGCCAGGGGCCATGTGCTCTTGGCGTTGGCTCTCCTTCCATCTCGGACAAATGCACCCTGCAGCCTTCCTGTGCAGATCTTCATCCTACATTTGTTTTTTATGAGCCCCACCACTAAAAAACTGCCCTAGTCCACCCCAGAGGCAGCTGCAAGGTAGTGCTGGGTGGAGTGATGGCTGAGTTAATGTTTGCCAGGCCCTCTGAGGGCACTGGGGATGTGACCTCCAAAGGGACTTCAGGCAGTTTCTGCTCTGGACTGTGTTAGGTTGTAATTAAGAGGGAAGCTGATAATGGGAACTGGTAGGTATTGGAGCAGTGGGGAGTGTAACGGGCTTGGGACCAGTGCTTGTGATCTGTTGGCTGGCATCCACAAAGGTCGTTTCAGTGAATGCACAAGGCTAATGCTGAAAAGACTCAGACAGCCCTGACTCTGATCTGAAATGGGACTGCCAGTACTGGTTTTATGGGAGTTAAGAGGTGCTGAGCATTGCTCTGGCAATGAGACTGGGTCATCTTTTCCAGTGAATTGTCTGGACCGACATGTTCACATAGCCCCAGACAAAGTGGCCTTAATCTGGGAGAAGGATGAACCCGGAGAGGAGGTGCGTGTCACGTACAGGTCAGTACTCACCTCTGAGCATACAAGAAACACATTGCAGCATGCATGAACACTGCACGAGGCTGATCTGCTGATGTGCATCATGCGAGGGGATGCAGCACCCCTTCACATAGACAGAGCAACCATATGGTGGCTGTTGGCTTGTCTGTGCTGATCTGAGACTTCAGCCTGATTAACCCTCTGGGCCCCCAAGGATCCCTACTCTAGCCGAGGAGGCAGATGCAAGCCCCTCATTGCATCATGGCAATGCTTGTAGGTAAGACCACATGGGAAAGTCACACACATGTGCCTTCCCAGCAAGGTTCCTGGTGTCTAAACTTGCAGGTGAATGGTTTGCAAGAGAGGCCAGGTTCACAGCTGCATGAGTGTTGGGAAGTCCCATGCTCATCTGCACATCAGCAGTACTGCTAGATTTGACTCTTTGGGGGGACTGCCTGTCCAACCCTGACAGGTTGGTGTGGTGTCCCCAACTTCCAGCTCAATTTGCCTGATCTCCAAGTCTCCCTGCAGAATCCACTTAAGTCCCTCTGTACACAGACCAAGTCCCTCTGTCCTCTCTAGCTCCAGACCTCACATGACAAACACGACCATTCACCTGTGCCAGTCTCCCTGCATGGACAGCCCTTCCATGACATGAGTCACTGACAGCCAAGCTCTGGTTTATGGGAGGGATGCTTCTTGGGAGAAACATCGTTTTGCTCACTGCTTTCCTACAGCTGTTCTCATTGGTGGGCACAAACTCTGGAGGACCTGACCTTCCCACCTTTAGCAAAGCACGGCGCCCTGTTTTTATGGGGGAGGATAACTAACGCCTCATGTGTAGCTTCCAGCCTTGCAGGATAGTGTGTTGGTCCAGTTGAACAGACTGATAAGAAATTTGCAGCTGTCACTGGGAAAGTCAGCTGAGGTTGTGGGCTTGCTGAGTCAGGGGAATTGCCAGTGGCCATTGCTGGTTGTGTGGCTGGCTCCTCATGCTAGCCAGTGAGAGTGTCAAGCTCTGTACAGAGGCCATTCTTATCTATTTCTTTTCCATAAATAACAGCCCATGTTAGTGATTGTCTTTTCCTTTCCTTCCCACTGACATTTTACTACTCTCCCATGGACTTCCAGAGTGGGGGGGTTAGGGTGCATAGGGATGTAAGCTGTGTACCTGTGACTCTGAAGCCCCCCGTCTTTATGCAAGTGGGCAAGATCTGTAAGAAAGTCTAACTGTGCCATTGCTTCTTTGGGCAGGGAACTGCTGGAGCTGACATGCCGCCTGGGAAACACCTTGAAACGGCAAGGGGTGAAACGGGGTGACAGGGTGACAATCTACATGCCCCCATGCCCACTGGCAGTGGCTAGCATGCTGGCCTGTGCCCGCATTGGGGCTGTGCACGCTGTGGTGTTCGCCGGGTTCAGTGCAGAGTCCCTAGCAGACAGGATCCGGGATGGTAAGAGTCAGTGGGTAACAGGGACACTTGTTGCCCTTGGGGGACAGTGCTAAGCTTGTTGGTTTGTCAGCTGGAGTATTCAGGGTTGTGAAAAGGCAGAAGGTTTCTGAGTAAGACTCCCTGGGCTAACTGATTGTCCAGCCATGACATATGGCTCTGGAGCAGGGATTAGCACCCCAGGAAATGGCATGGGATCACTACATATCTTCCAGCCCATAGGGTGGGCTGGGTCTCTCCTTCATTCAAGGGACTAAAGGGCTGGGATACAGGATCTCTTCTGAGGGGATGCAACACAGGCAGGAATGAATGGGAAACAAAGACGCAAAGCTGCTGGTTTTGCTAAATGGAGGACATGAGTAACAAGGGCTGGGAGACAGAGGGAGAGGCGCAGGGTCATGGTGGAGCCAAACTGCTGCGTGACTGATGGAAAGGGGCAGAGCTGCTTATCGGGCTCTCTGCCTTCTGCAGCCCAGTCAGAGACAGTGATCACAGTGAATCAGGGGCTGAGAGGCGGCAAGGTTATTGAGCTAAAGAAGACAGTGGACCAGGCTGTGAAGCAGTGCCCAGGAGTGAAACGGGTTCTGGTTTCCATGAGGACTGACAGCAAGTTTCCCATCACAGCCCAGGACGTGCCACTGGAGGAGGTGAGAGGCTGCCTGGCACTACTGCTGCTTCCCCTGGGCAATGTGCCCACACCGGCATCAGGGACACGGAGTGGAGAGAGGGTCCTGGCTGGCCATGACAGTTTTGCTGGTGTTGACACGATGTGGGGACATTTTCCTGCAGCAGAAGTGGTAGCTGGAGCTGCACACAAGTTCAGGACAGTTCCAGGAACTGTCAGGATGAGTAACTGGTGGCTCTTTCCACAGCACCAGCCCTGTACTGTCAGGGGCAGGCAGAGCAAACCAGGGCTTGTAGTAGGGTGGAGTAGGGGCTAGAAACAACCCAGACACGGGCTGACACATTGTGAGCCCAGACTTAGACTGCCACTGCACTGTCACACACTGCTCTGCTGGCAGACCTGGCACCCTCTGCGAGTGCCACTGGCAGCCTGTGTCCAAGGAAGCAGGCAGCAAGGTTGCTTGCGTGTCTGTTAGTCATGGCACACAGGATGGCCAGGCTGCCAGCATGGAGCATGGTTTCTGAAGAGGTAAGCCCCTGCGGTGCATTTCTGTTAGCTCTCCAGAGCCGCACAAAGGTCTCCCCGCCTTTGCTCATCCCATCTGCAAGCAATTAGTGCTAGAAAAGCTTTCTGGAAGACTTTTGTGCTGGTCAGAGCAGCGGCAGCATAAAAATAACTGCCTCTTACTCAGCAGGTCTGCTCTGGCTGAGCAGAGTGTTTGCCAGCTCAGCAAGGCGAAAGAGAGTTCAGGCTGGCAAGCAGAGGCAGTGGAGGTACAGAGGCGGGAGGATGGTATAGGGGGAGCAGGGTGGAGCAGGTGCTCAGTGGGAAGCTTGGGGAAGAGATGCACAAGCACATGTAGGGACAACACAGGGAAGCCTGTGTGACCCTGTGAGACAGCAGTTCTCTCTCTTGCAGGAGATGATGAAGGAGGATGCATGCTGTGAGCCTGCTGCCATGGACAGTGAAGATATGTTGTTCCTTCTCTACACATCAGGCAGCACCGGCAAACCCAAGGGTCTGGTTCATTCCCAAGCTGGTTACTTGCTGTTTGCTGCTCTCACACACAAGGTAATGGATCCCAGCCACAGAGCACTCATGAGTCAGCAGTTCATAGGCAGTGCAGGGAACAGATGTGCTGCCTTGTTGCACTATGAGCTCATCTTCGTACAATCCTCTGGACTCACTTGAGCAGGTCCATGTCCTTCTTATGTTGAAGACCCCAGAGCTGGACACAGCACTGCAGGGGAGGGTCTCACCTGGAGAGCAGAGTAGCGGGGGAGAATCACCTCCCTTGACCTGCTGGCCACACTGCTTTTGATGCAGCCCAGGACACGGTTGGCTTTCTGGGCTGCAAGTGCACATTGATGGGTCATGGTCAGTTTTTCATCCACTAACACCCACAAGTCCTTCTCTGCAGGGAGCTGCTTCTACTTTCTGCCTGCTTTCAGGCACGGGGCTGCCACTCACCCAGCTGAGGCACAGAGGTACCAACTCCTGCGGGCAAGTGGGGGTGGCTCTTGGCTGAGGTATCTTGCAGTCCCTCTGTTTACTGCTTCAGTTCTCCTACAAAGGGCTCCTTGCTGAGCTCATGGTTTTACTGAGTGTTTACTGTGTGTTTGGAGCTCAGCAGTGCCTGGGGTGGCTCATGGTGTCTTTCACCATATTGCCCTTGCTTATAACTCCTTTCCTTCCATGTGGTCCTGTAGGTGTGGAGGGACCATCCTCACCCTGAAAGTTCTCTCATTGTGATGCTACAGGGTACTTAGATCAGCCTTGTCTATACACCAGCGGAAGGAAGGAAAGGCTGTAGCTCTCCTTTGAAAAAGAGCAAATTTGACTGCAGTTTGAGTTTTCCTCCACCTTTGTAAACCACCTGACTTTTTTTTTTATAATGTTTTTAAAAAGTCTCTGCAGGAAGGTGTCCTTGCAGAGGTAGTGGAAAGATGCAATATCAGGGCTGGGAGAGGGTACACTGCTCTCAGTTATACCCCTTGCCAGGAGGGCAGGCCCAGGCTGTACCCCTCACTGTTTCTCCTCTCTTGCACAGTATGTGTTTGACTACCAGGACAGGGACATCTTTGGCTGTGTGGCAGACATCGGCTGGATCACAGGGCACACCTATGTGGTCTATGGCCCACTCTGCAATGGTGGCACCACAGTCCTTTTTGAGAGCACTCCCATCCATCCTAACCCAGGTGAGTGAGGTGTCTCAGGGGAGCTGGGATGTGCCACAGCCACCCTGAGACCTGCAGCAGGCAGGGAGCTGGTGGCTTGATGCCAGGACACAGGCAGCAATGGTTCAGCAGACCATGGGCTGTGCCCAGCAGAGAGCTGTGAGAGGAAGAGTCTTCTCCTCTGGTTAGGAAGCCACTGTTGCTTCTCCAGCGGTGAAACTGTTTTTCTCTGTAGCAGTGAGAGTAGCAGAGCTAGGTCATGTGGAGAAAAAGGGGCCACTGCTGCTCCTGGACAGCTTTAGTCCTTCTCAGAACGGGATTAGCTTGGCTGAGGGTCCAGGTACTGCTAGAGAGCCATTGCTCTCACCTCCTCTCCCTCTATCTTGGTCTCAGGCTGGTAGGACCTGTGTGGGTTGTTACTGGCCCTGTTTCCATTCCAGGCCGTTACTGGGAAACGGTGGAGAGGTTAAAAATTAACCAGTTCTATGGGGCACCCACTGCCATCCGCCTGCTCCTGAGATACGGTGATGAATGGGTGAAGAAGTATGACCGCTCTTCTCTCAAAGTGCTTGGCTCAGGTAACTGCTGGTGCTGTGGGCTGCAGGGGCAAATCCTTGGGCATCAGGTTTTGCTTCTTCCCACAAACGCCAAGAACAGCCTCACATAAGAGTAGGAAGTCAGGAGGCTGCACTGCTTGTGGGGTGCTGTTTGTGGGGTGCTCTCTGAGCAGGCCCTGGGAAGCTGTGTCTTTGACCTGGTCTTTCAGCTCTGTCCCCTTGTCTTTCCCCTTGCAGTGGGAGAGCCCATTAACAAGGAGGCATGGGAATGGTACTTCCGCGTGGTCGGCGAGACACGGTGCCCAGTAGTGGATACGTGGTGGCAAACTGGTGAGATGTGTATGACCCCTCGTTCCAGCTTCTGCTCTCCCAGTTGTTGCTGCTTTGCTGGCCAAGTGGGAATGGTTGTTACTGACACTCTTGTATAAGCAATGCTGTAAGGGGCCACAGGCACCAAAACATGGAAGAGGGAAATGGTCCTTAAAGCTAACCCAGAGAAACACAGGGGTGCTGACGGTAGGGAGCCGATCTCTGCTGATGCAAAGAGCCTTCTCCAGCTCCCTGGCAAACCTAACCCCAGCCCATGGTCCAGCAGGGTGCAGTGAGGGCCAGGGCAAAGGCTGTTGGCCAAGCAGTGCTACCTGGCTGTCCTCTTGTTGCTGACTTTGATGACCATTACAGTTTCTTTTGCTTCAGAAACAGGAGGCATCTGTATATCTCCCCGTCCTTCTAATCCTGGTGCCGAAATCCTTCCAGGCATGGCTATGAGACCCTTTTTTGGGATCAGACCCTCCCTCCTGGACGACAAGGTACATTTATAACCTGCAGCCCAGGCACTGGTTCAGCCTGCTTTCCCCCAGGCACTTGCAGCATGTACTTGCTGATGGGACTGGAGATCTGTAAGCACATCTTTCCTGCTCACCTCTGCTAGGTAGCACCTTACTTTACTGGAAAGAGACTAACAGTGAAGCTGTTCCTCCAACCAGTGCAGAAGTTGAGCTGTTTTCTAGCTTGCTCTGTCTTGACAAGACAAGCTGTGCTTGGGCTCCCTGGCGCATGTCTTTGCAAGGTGAGGTAGCTAGGGAGCAAAAGCCAGACTCCCTGCTGGGGCCCTGCGAACCACCGTGGTAGGCAGCTGGTTGCAGACATCTGCTGGGAGAGGCTGAGCCTGTCCCATTGTGTTAGGGACACAGAACTCTCCTCACTGCCTTCCCTGACATCTCCATCACAAGGTTGTTAAATAGGCAATGACTAAACATCCCAAGTACTGGAAACCATGGTTACTAAAAGGTAACTATTTTACAGGGAAATGTCCTTCTGGAAAACAACATCTCTGGAGCCCTTTGCATCTCACAAGCCTGGCCAGGTATGGCACGAACCATTTACAATGACCACAAGAGATTTCTGGAGACCTATCTGACTCCTTATCCAGGTAAGGAAAAGGTGGCAGATCACTGCAGAGGTGTTTGGTTGGGTATGGTTGAGTCCGCCTGCTGGTTTTCTGCACAGGAGCAGAACTCGGGAGAGCTGGTACTGCTGCTTTGTTCTTTCACAGACCATCCACAGTGTTGAAGTCTTTCATCTCCTCACGCCCAATACCTCCGCATCACCCTGAGAACAGGTCTCTCTCACCAACCTTCCCCCTTAGATCACATATGCTTTTAGGGCTGTGGATTTGTCCTTCTGTTCCCAGTCCTCTCGAGCACAGACAGACCTCTTGGCGAATCTTTTGCAAACCCTGTCAGCTTCTGTGACTCATTCAGAGGCACTGAGCAAGCCCAAAAGCATGTGTGCCTTGACATGAAGCAAAGGGGAGAAGCAGCAGGACCACAGACACCTGCACTGGAGCAAAGCACTGCTAGCTTGTGGTGATGAGGGAGGCTGGGCCTTAAACTGCACACTGCAGAATGAGGGAAGGAGCCTGGTGACAGAACTGGTACCAACAGAGGCAGAAGGCTAACAAGGAAGGTTAGTCCTTCACTCTGAGCAGTTCAGGAAGGAGCAGAGTACAAGTTAGACCTTCACTCTGAGCAGCTGAGGAAGGAGCAGAGTACATGAGTCCTGCTGCCAACAGAGAGGAGAAGAGGGCAGCTGGTGAGGAGGTCACATGCTCACTGCAACAAGTGACCGTGCATGGTTCTGGCCACTACAGGGTTTTTCTTCACTGGGGATGGTGCGTATCGTACCAGTGAGGGCTACTACCAGCTGACAGGACGGCTGGATGACATCATTAACATCAGCGGACACCGGCTGGGCACTGCAGAAGTGGAGGATGTTGTGGTAAGAGGTGTGGGTGGGAGGCAGAGCCATACGAGAGGACAACGAAGGCATGGTGGTGGTGCTCAGGGAAACCTCTTTAGAATACATACAGGAACATTCTGCTGCTGTAGCAGCAGGGAAAAGCAATGGACCCACCACCTGCCTGTGGGAACAGCTTCCCACCCTCTCTCCTTCTATTCTGGCTCTCTGCAGCAGGGGAGGGACAAAGCCCAATAAGGCTGATGCTGTAAGTGGGTGATTCCCAAAGCAGCAGCTCAGCATGTTAAGGAGGAGCATTTGCAGGCCAGTAAAAATTATGGGACCTGATGGAGCAACGTGGAGGCACAGAACAACGTCTATAAAGTGCAAGCCTAAAGCAGCCAGGGGCAGGTGGAAAGAGTTGTGTTTGCAGACAGACCTGCTGAGGCAAGAAGGAAAAAGCAGAGAGCAGCTGAGGTCCTTCCTTATCATTCCGCATTACTGTGGGCTGTAGCAGCCAAGCCAGGGCAGGGCAGCTTCCAGGTGGCAGCCAGCCTGCCAAAAGCACCAAGCCAAACCCCAGCTCTGTTCTCTTCCAGAATCACCACATGGCAGTGGCGGAGTCTGCTGTCATCGGCTACCCACATGAGATCAAGGGAGAAGGTAAGATGCCTGCTTGCCTCCCCTGAAATGTCTCTCCCCGGGGCTCTTGTACAACTGTAGGAAGTGGCACTGTCACACCTACCTCTGGTAGCAACACTGTGCCAATGCCGTACAGCATGTTATTGGGGATCTTAGCACAGCCATCACAACCTATGCCTGAGGCCAGCTGGGCTTTGCATTAAGGCAGCAGCAGCAGCACCATGACCAAAAGCACTTACAGCTCAGGCTACAGAGCATTCCCTGAGGCTACCAGGAGAGAGGGACCTCTCCTGGCCCTAGGTCCAGGCAGGCGCTCAGGAGCATGCTGTGCATGGTGCTCAGTAACCTGATGGTCCTTCTGCCAGGAGCCTATGTGTTTGTTGTGCTGAAGAAGGACAGTGGCTACACACAGGAGACTCTTGCTGCTGAGCTACGGGAACTCATCTCAAAGAAGATCGCCAAGTACGCAGCTCCGGAGTACGTTCAGGTAACCTGTGCAGGCTGGTCCAACATCCACGCTGGTAGCCTGGCCAACCCCTTTCCCTCAGCCTTAGCCCTGCTCCTCCCCATCACAGGTCACACACCGGCTGCCCAAGACACGCTCAGGGAAGATTATGCGTCGGGTGCTAAGGAAAATCGTGGAGGACAAGGCCAGTGAGCTCGGAGACCTAACCACCCTGGATGACCATGAAGCTGTGCAGCAGATCATAGAAGGACACAAGCGCCTGGTGGAAGGGCAGAAGAGCTACTAGTTTGGCTCTGCCAGCAACCACCTCCTGCTCCTCCACTGCAGAACAGGGCCATGCCCAGAAATGTCACTAAGCAACTGGCAGCCAGTAAGTGCTCAGAGCCCATACCTCCACTGCAGCCTGAGTGACCTCTCTGCAACACAGAGACCCTCAAAACCTGTCTTCACACACCTATGGGAGGCAGAGGAGAGAAAATGATTCATCATAGGCAGAAGAGTAAGGGGAGGCAAGCTGTTTCCTCCCCTAAAAGCAGTTGGCCCTCTTGGGGCTCCTCATGCCTTGCAGAAGCTGCGAAGGTGGCAGCAGGGCAGGATGCCCAGCCCTGGATAGGTGTATCACTCCTATCCCTGCTCTGCTCTTCAGCTATAGTCTAGTCCACCACCACTGCCATCTCCTCCCAAAGCAAACCACAGAAGGAAAAGATGCAGCACTCTGGTTAACAAATACTGACCCTTCCCCACAAAAATCGTTGGAAAACAGGCCCAGATTTTAATACAAAGTGTTCCTCTGACCTGCAACTGTGTGTCATAAGGAGAGCAGAGACATGCCCCCTCTCTGTGCCAGCATCCTCCCCCCCTCACAGTGCATCCCTTGACTCCAGCTGGGGAGCACAACCATCAACAGAGCCACAGGTACAGAAGTCTGTTCTGCAGAGCTGTATATCAAAGAGACAGAGGTCCCAGCGAGGCACAGAGGGCAGAACAGGAAGCTGCACCCTAGCCTCGCACCACTGCATCCTGGACAAGTGGAGGTTCCTCTGGCCGTTGTTTCTACGAGCCCCATGAGGCAGCATCTTCTCTTTGGGCAGCCTAGTAGCTCAGCCCTCTCCCCCATGAGAGGCAGGGAGGCAGCAGAAGGGGGCTGGGAGAAGGATGGCATAGATGTGTCTGCTCCTGGCAGAACCCCACACCATGAGTTCAGACTTAGCTCTGTGTCCACCAGCTAAATCCAGAACTAGTCTTGCACTGGATGAATCCACTGTTGACAGCTGCTAGCTTGGCAGTTCCATGTCTGCTATTAAGATCTTTCCCACGTGTGTGCAGGTTCTGCAGCTGGCCAGACAAGGGCATGTTTTTCAGCATTCTTCCCCAGCTGGGAGCCGCTTCATCTTCTCACATCGAGTGAGCTCCCATCTTCCCTCCCCATAAAGTTTCAAAATCCAGTTGTGGAACTGCAATTCAATAACACAACAACTGAGGGATGTCTCTACAGGGTCATGTCCTCCCACATGTCCTCCCACAGGGCCATGTCCTCCTCGCCTCAGTCATTTGCCTCTGCTCACCAGGGACCCTCTCCACCTTCCCTGTCCTGCCACCACCAGAGAGGCGTGGAGCACTGTCTCCCTATCTCACCTTTTCCAGGCTGGGTCTATGTCCCACACTGATCAGCGTCATGCCCAGATGAAGGCACACACGGTACAGTTCATGCTCCACTTCTTCTGTGAGGGCACTGGTGGCTTCATCTAGTACTGAGAGAAAAGTTGTAAGCCCCACAAATCCTCTCCAACCAGTCATCTCCCCCTAGATAAAAGCGCAGCAACTGCCAAGAACATTTCACATATTAACCAGAGTTCACCAAGAACATCTGCAGAAAGCAAGCGAGGAGAAGCCCAAGGACTCTGATCTTCCTCTGTCAGAGTTCATGTCAGTCAACAGGGAAAACTGCCCTTCCCCACAAGCCCCTGAATTTACCCAAACAGCACCGTTTACATCATTCCTCTCCTTCAGCTGCCAGTCACTGCCTCATCCCCACTGTGAAAGACAAGACAACCTTCTCAAGGCAGGCCGTGTGCCAGAGTGCCAGGCTGAGCAGCAGCCTGTGCATCCCTCCAGTCCAGACCCCACCTGGAGCATCCAGGACAGCCTGAGGCACCTCCCTGTCAGATATGGGTAAATACTACAGATCTGGAACAGATAAATCAATTTGGTTTATGTCATCTCTACAGTTTTTAGTTTGCAATCCACAGGTTCCTTCTGCCCAGACAGCACTGAGCCATGCCACAGGCTTCAGGGGAAGAGAGGTACTTATGTGTGGCTATTTTCTACAACACCAGCTCTGTTCACCCACATGCACTCTGGCCCTCATGACAAGTCCTCTAACAGCCTCCCCCTGGCCCCCAGCAGTCACTAGCAATCTAGGTGTGCAAAGGAATTAGCCCCATCTGTACCGGGAGCTGCTTCTGTGATCTCCCAGCACTATTTCTCCCAGTGCTCCTTTGTCTTCTTTTGCTGTGTTACAGCTACGTTTCCCACATTGCTTCCACAACCCTAAAGGCATTCACGAGCTTCAGGTATGGCAGCTGACAGCACACTCCTTCGCCTGCATGCTTCTTTAAGTGGCAGCTGGAGAGCATGCTGAGATGGTGCTTCTTCAGGTGCTATCAGATCTGGGCCAAGAACTTTAATCACTAGTTCCAAAGAGAACCTTACATACAGTCTCTTGATTTACCACACTCCACAGATAACAAAATACTTTCACCCCTGAAGCCTCTGCATGCTACACTGCTAAAATAACGGCCAAGACAAAGCATGTTCCTAAGCAAAGAAGGGATTTCATAAGCTGTCTCTGTACCAGCTGGCCCTGCCTTCCCCCTCAACTTTCTTTTCCTTCGCAGTCACTCACTCACTCACCTGCATATTTTGGCTGAAGGTAGAAGAGCCGTGCAAATGAGAGCCTCTGCATCTCCCCTGGGGACAGCATGTCATACCTGCAGCAGGGTAGAGATTCAAAAGCTCCCTCAACAAAAAGAGCTCATTTGCTAAAGAGCTTATGATTGCTGATATCAAGAGACCCCAGCAAGCAACTGTCCCTGTGTGTCCCCCGTGCCCCGCTCCACACTGGACTGGCTCTGCACCCCTGTGCACAGTCAGCTGCCTGCAGAGCAGCAGGGCTGGTGATTGTTGGCATTGATGCTTGGGGCATGAAGGCTTTGCGTCTGTATACTGCCCACCTCCCACAGGACACAGCTGGGCACAGGTGTTCCTAAGTCCAGCAGCAATGTGCATCTGCTTAGAAGCATTCCCCACCTAGAGGGATCACCCAAATTCATGCCAATGGTGAGCTCCCTTACCAGTTCCAGTCCACCTGCTTGTCCAGTCCTCCAGCCCTCGCCAGCAAATCAGTCTGCAGAGAGCACAGCAGACTTGTGAACACCACCCCAACCCTGTCAGCCCACAGGCCTGAGCACAACCACCCCCTTCCTGCTAGTCTTTTCCTGCTTGAGCTGAATATGTTCTGTATCCCCCACCTCCTCTGCCTGTCCCATGGACAGTCCTGTCCCAGCTGCAGACAATGTCCCCACGTGTCCAGCACATGGTCATGCTGTGCTGCCACAAAACCTCATCCCTTCTATCCTCGCTGGCAGCACCAGGAGAGAAGGCAGCACCACCACCAGGGACTCACCAGCCCAGCCAGCTCCAGGAATCGCACAATTCTCTCATCATCTGCAGACCCTAGGGGAGAAAGCAGCAAAGCATAAGCAGAGGCCACAGCTGCAAGGAGTTGTCAGTGGGGCAGAAGGGAAGTATTGGAGGATCTCCTGAGGTCCAGTGTAGCTGACTCAACCACTTAACTATATCAGGTCCTGAGCTTTGGCACAGATAGCTCCCAAAGACTGACCTTCCTTAAGAACATTAACCATGTCTGTAAGCAGCATGCCAGGAGGTAGCTGGACTCCACAGATACACTTGAGAGTTGGCTCAGTCCATGGTCACAGACAGACACAGCCAGAACACAAGGATCCAAGCTTTAATTGCCCAAGCCCTGCCCACCAGTTGCTCACTGTACGCTGCAGGTGGAGGACTAATGGGAGCCGGGCTCGGGTAACAGCCAGCAAATGGATCCTGCATGGGACAGGAAAAATCTCAGGGTGAACCAGCTGTGGAGCAGAACATACACTTGAGCTGGTGCAGTCGAGCAGCAATGGAAGCTGAGCAGAAGAGCTCTGCATCTCCCACAGACCTCTCTGAAGCTGCTGAAGAGCCACAACAGCAGCTGATGGCTGCAGTTACTCTCTGCAAGACTGTGACTTCCAAGTGTTTGAAAGCAGCATGTAACGCTGCTTCACTCAGATAGAAACTTCAACTGGGACATCTGCAAACTGCAGCAGACCACATGCGGTCTGGCTTGGGAGGAGGGCAGGAGAGAGAAAGGATCCACATAGTCTGACCTCAACAGCATGCAACGCCCTGGGACATCATTTGAAAAAGAGGAACAGTGAAAGATGGACGTGGATGGAAAATGATATGAAGGCAAACATGGCTTGCCCAAAGGCAGGTTGTAACAGACAGATCAGATCGATTCCAATAGCAAGGTGCCTCAACATGTATCATGTCTAACACAACATGCAGAGCATGGCCAGCTTGTCTTCACTGCATCAAGAAAATATGTTCTTATCAAAAAAATACGTTTCCTCCCAAAAGAAAGGTAACACAGAGCTGGCTGACCTTAATCTACACTAAGGTAAATCTTCCAGGGAAAAGTAGAGAGCAACAAAAGTGAAATGGATGAGTGGTCCTGATGGGGCATGGTAGGGGAGAAGCTGCACTGGGTACAGGACAAGGAACTGACACCACAGGGTTGGCTCACTGCTCTAATGAATTTCCACATACCTGAAACTGGATAGATCTCCTTCAGAGGGTAGATCACCTGTTTAACACAGCAAAAGAAGCCATGTCAGAGGGAGCCGGACATAGTCTATCAGAGATGCAATGGCGGTGGCAGTGAACTCGGGCACGAGGAAAGGAGCAGCCACAGGCATCTTCCCTCCTGCAGGCCTTTCTGCAGCACACAGGCTCGCAGGGCACTATCACAGCTGGGAGCAGAGCTGCAGTCAGAGTAGAGGCAGCCCCTGTGCTCACCTGCTCACGCAGGCTTCCGTCGGTGAAGAAGGGCCGCTGCGGCAGGAACACCACTCCCCGGGGGCCAAAGCAGGTCAGCATCTTGATGCTCCCTGCACAGAGACACATTCATGCCAAGCCTGCAGTACCAGTTGACAACTCCTCACTGCTCCCTGTGCAGTCCTACCCCATGAATTAGCCAAAAAATCCCAGAAAGAGTATATATGTGCAACCCAGGGCAAAGCAGTGAAAGCCAGAGCAGATTATGCAATAGGGATGGGTGTCTCCAGTGCATCAGTGACACATTCACCATCACAAGGTGACACTGGCCTCAGAACCCCACACTGCCATCTTCCAAACTCAGGGCAGTCCCAAGAGAGAGAAAGCTGCAGTGAGCAGCAGTCCTTACCCTGTGTGGTCTCCCAGAGTCCCCCAAGGACCCTCAGAAGAGATGTCTTCCCAGTGCCAGTGTTCCCCACAATCATCACACTGTTTCCTTGGGAGATGCTGAGGCTC